GTTTACTTTACTCGGTAAAGTAAAATAAAGATAATGTACCAGCCCTAGGTGTGAGTGTGGGTGTAAGAGAAAAACAGGCTATCGTATACCCACACCCTCAAATATTTTCCCATACTGTTTTCTACGGTTCTTCCCTTCTTTCCTTCACAATGTCACTAAAGTATATTTCAACTGTATCATGTTGATCGTTAGTATATTCCATTATCTCAAATCCATGTTTTCGTATTTCCTATACTATACTGAAGTTTTGAATGAAACTTTCATTTTTTGGAAATGCATTTTTCTAAGACAAAGTTTGATATGCTTTATTACTGAGAAGCAATTTCTGTTTTCTATGTAAAACAATAAAATACATTTGTTCGCCAATATCTTTAATTATTCTTGATTACCGACGAATTTGTAAAAGGTTATTTTACGAAAAGTTTATCAAAGAGTTAAAAAAAATTGGCAGTCAAGTAATTAAGAGCAAAACACGTCTTAAGAATGTGTTTTTATCATTCTCACGTTCACATTTCATAAAGTAAAAGAAAAATATAGCACACTGCATAATTGTACATGTCATCGTTGCACAGAGAACACGTTAATCTTCTTTGCATCGTTCCACTTTTATTATGCATACTCGGCAATAAACAATCATTTACAAGTTTCTTAATATATTGTATCAACAATAAGAGAAATAAAATGACGAATAAATCTTAAACAAATAAATAGAGTTCCACATTTATTGCAAACTTTTTATTTCTCTCTTCATAAATACTAAATATAATAAAATGCAGAGAAAGATTGCACGTTCGATTTATGTGGTGCTCTAGTGGAGATCGAACCCGCGACATTTTTGTTTTCAGCAAAATAATCTCCCAATTGATTTACAAAGCGATGTAATCGAAACATTATAGCTTTCACTTTCTTTCAAATGTCTATGCAATATATTATATTTTCTAATTATATTTCTATGATGAAATCACATATTTTATTTTATTTTTCTCATGTTCATAAAGATAAAATATCAACTATGTTTATATAATAATCTGATGTGAAACTTTTTCACAAGAAAAAGAATCATATATTTAGTTACGTTTTACACAGTGCAAAAGTTAATCGATCAACTATGAAAAGCAAAGTAAAAACAGATAAAATAATTAATTCATTTGATTGAAGTACTGTACAAAGTACTCGTAAAACAATTCATTTAATAATTGATTTTTCAAGTGTATTTTGTAAAATACGTTGTCGTTGTAATATGTCGATTGATGATTGAAAATATGCAGAATAATAATGGAAGACAATCAATGAATAACAATTGACTTGTAAATTTTAAAAGATACTCGTATAGTAAAGTTCGTGTAATTGCTCATGGAGGTCGATCAAATAAAGTCATTGTTCATAGAAAGGCAGTGATAATTACGGATAATATAATTAATGGAAGAACTTTTTCTTGATGTTTTGCAAAGTTTCACCTTCATTTTGATTTCTATTTCATCCGTCATTATATATTGTTTTAAAATAAACCAAGTTAATGGATTAAACAATGATCACAATCATTTGAAATATTTCATTTCATTCAATTCTCATTGCTTTACTAGAACTTGTGACGAATCAATATTATGCAATTATTCATCGTGATTCGATTAATTCATCCATCAGATCGTTGTCAATCTATTACATGGAATTTTTCAATGAAATCATTGTTTATATATCTCTCATTCAACGTATTAAATAGTATCGTATGTTATTGTTAATATTGACTTGGTGATATTCTTCACGAGGATCGAGTAACGTCACAAATTGTAGGATTTACTAGTATTTATTCTAAAAGATGAATAATGATAATAAAACTACGGAAATAACAGAAACAAAAACAAACAATAATATGAAAAAACAACTTGAACTAAAAAAAACATGAAGAAAAGAAGATGACAAAGAAAGAATTGAGAAAAACACCACCCCCTCTCTCGTATATATGTATATCTATCTATATACAATCAATACAGGGAGAAGTGGCTAATAGTGAGGGATACTAGGGAATGACAGACGGCGTACTCTAGTAATAGACATATCGGTTGTTGTTTTCTTTCGAAATATAGCTCGCCAGTACTGTATACGTCCTTCATCCATTCCATTGTACATCGGAGTACCAGGCAATCCAGCAAACAAACGAAAATATTCTTGTTCTCTTGGTCGAACATAACGTTCAATAAATTGGGTACGAGTGTTGCTCTGAATGTCGAGTGCATGAAGGACATTTCTTGTAATATTTATCTTTTCTTCAACAATCAATTTACCGTTTGCTGTTAAATAATCAATTGATGTATCTGATCCATCTATGTGGCATAAGTCGCACCAAAGAAAATATCCATTTGGACGAAGTACACGAGCAACTTCACTAGCAAATTGTTTAACTGCTATTGGTCCACCATAAGCATGTGTTGCTTCAACACAAATAACAATATCGAGTGACTCATTTGCAAATGGCAAATATTTTGTTGCATCGGCTACTACGAAGGAAAGTCGAGGCTTCATCGAATGACGTTGTCGACATACATCAATAACACCTGAAGAAAGATCAGCTCCCACATAAGAATCAGGTACATAATTATCAACGCACCAAACAGCACCAGCACCTCTACCACAACTCACTTCAAGTACAGTCTGATTTGTAAGTGATACTTGAGCAAGGACCTATATCAAAGAACAACAAATATTTTAGTGATAATTACTATATTTTGAAGATGTGGATTTGCTGTTGATTACAGATTCAATAAAAGCAAATTCTATTTATTGAACGTTCGATGTGCGAAGAAAATACTGAATACTGTATTGTTCAGTTCTGATTACTTACCTCTTTATATAGTTGTTTTGAACAGTAGTTGCTGTCATTGTCAATGTGTTCATCAAAGTCTGCATATCCATAATTCATGAATTGTAATTCATCAACGTTCGAATAAGCATTTGCAATCCATTCATACCAGAATGATAAGCTATCAACATCTTCAGATGATGGCTGTTGTTCAACTTCATTATCACGAAACAATACAAATTGAGATGATGTTACTTGTGTCGTCAAAAGTTCTACGAAAAATTAAGTTAGTATATTAAAAGATGAATTCATTGATATATAATGCTTACAAGCAATTAGTCTAACTTCAAGTAAACTGTAAGTAAGGGCATTTAGTTCGATCTTTTTTTAATTAAACTCGTTTTTTTTAGCTTTTGAAGAAAAATAAATTACGTAATCTTATATAAGCCTATCTTATTATACAGATTTTATTCAATATAATAAATGAAGGATCAAAATGAGTCGTTTTATTAACTATAGAGTTTAATGAATGATTGAATGTTAAATTGAACAAAGTGACATTTACTGAATATTAAATAACAACTCAGTAGTATTTCTTTTAATAAATTAGAGAGCGAAAACAAATCACTCTATAAACTGAACTGGACTCGATAAAATTTCGTGAGGGATGATTTAATGCAATCTAACCTTAAATGAAAAACCCCACACCCACCCACCCCCACTCCCCATGTAAATATGAACTTTAACGTAATATTTCTAACTATGCGAAAAATACGTATTGACCTATGATCTGCGTTTGATTAACTGGGACAAAGACAAAACGTACTAGGCATCCCGAACACCTGGTAATTTGTCTAGGTGTTCAGATTCGACTTTTTTTTTGCCATTTTTACCGGGAGTCCGTAAAAAAAAGTTTATTAGGCGACTATAATTTTAAAAAAAACAGGGAAATCGAAACGAAGTGGTCGACTATATGTAAATTAATACTGTCAGTAAATCGGGATGGAAATGACCGGGTGTCCGTAAACTCATTTTACCTGTAGATCGTAAATATATTATAATACTTATAGAGAGCACTAATCTTAAGGAGAATGTAAATATTAGAGTGAGGGCGTGGGAAAAAAGTATTATGTAACCACTCCCACAAATGGTAAAGCAATGAAAGCTAAGAGTCGTGGTACAACAAATAAACGGATGAAAAAATAACATTCCGTTTCTTTGCACATCTCACTTTTTTTTCTATGATAGAAATCCCTATTCTTTATCGACATTAAAGCAAATGTCTCTATTCTTTTCTATGATTTAGTTTTCTATTTTTTGTACTTTGTTTGATTATCTATGCTATTTCTTGTGCTTTTTTCTGAGTTGAAAAAGATGTATTGTATTCATGAGAACATTGTTTTGTTCATTATCTTAAAATACAAGCTACTGAGTCGTTTAAAATCTCTCAAAAAAAAGTGCACACACGAACATAGTTACGAAGATCCTGCCTCTTTTCATTACGATCTGCATATTTTCATTGTTACGATCTTCCGGTTACTTTCATCCCGAACACCCTGCTTATTTTTTGAATTTTTGACATTCCGAAGATTATGCATGTTTTCATATGTCGGGAAGTCGGGACGAACATCTCTTCAGGGAAATCGTAAAAA